AAGAGGGACGAGGCGACGAGACCGAAGGAGAAGCCTGGAAATCGAGGATCTCGACGTCACACCCGACGATATCCACGCTCCCCTGCTGAAGATTCCCAAGGAGCGCTCCTTCACCATTCTCTTCACCGCTCTCCACCTGTCCAAAGCACATGAGGCCATAACACTCAGCACATCACACATGGTAAGAACAATAGGAAATGAAGTGAGACCTCTTCAACATAGTTGGCAGGGAAGTAGTGCTGCTTCTTCCCACCATAATCTCCCTGCCACCATCCCCCATCCCGTTTATTCACGTTGCTGATGATGACATGCTTGCAGAAGCTGAGTTCATCTTCCCGCTGCGCCCGGTAGTCATACAATGCTTTCACCACCACCTGTATATGTCCACAGGTAAATTAAAATCATAAGATTTGCATAGCTAAACATCTGAGTCCTTGTCACAACCTGATTAAGCATGTGTTTTATAGTTCTTCATCTGAAACATGAGAAGAGGGAAGTAGAGAATAGTATTACACTTTCCCAAACATCTGTGCATGAAATCTGCACATGCATAGCTTAAGCCTGTCAAGTAGAGAATAGGCAGATTGTCTCATGTCTCCTTCATCTGAACCAAGTATCTATGTTCATCAGAAAAAGACCAATGCTTGGCTGTGATGAAGGACATTCCCATGTACATCCCAAGTTCCAAATGGATCCATGTAAGTTTCTGCTTTGAACAATGTCTCCGTTTTAAGCAACAGTTCGTTTTCATTCACAAGAAATCTAATTATACTTTAAAACCTTCAGTGCAACCTTTTCCAGCTGCTATTTGAGACTCATAGGATATGCCCCAAAGACATAAATCACACGAAGCCAATATTCATTCATATGGTTGCTGCTCTCATTCTGATAGCTGAGCCAATTTTCCAGCTTTAGCTGCTACTATCCATCCCTGAAAAACATTACCAGTGCCTTCACCTCAGTTGCCCTTTCATTTCTCAAGCACCACAAGGAGAAACTTTTGAGTTCCAATATGAGTAAGAGAAATCAATGAATTAAATAAAGAAAAATACAAAATTTGAAATGGCTCTCTTTTCCTCTTACGGACTGCACCTTGGAGGTGAAGGAGTTGGGGTCAGTGTAGAGGTCTGGATGGCCATAGACAGCACCCTCCTCTGGTTCCAGCTTCAGCCTCCTAACCAGTTCCTCATTCACTGGATACTTCAACTTCATCTTCTTGTAAAGATCGTTTTTCTCATAATATTCCACAAGATCCACAAGGCTCTCAAACTGCGATGTCCCGATCACAAACAACCGTCCTATGAAAACGAGTTGGAGGTGTTGAAATGGAAGGAGAAGATATGAAGCTCTTGAAGCACCATTAATCAAGCTTTGTGCTATTATGAACAGAATAGCATGAAAAGCTATAGAAACAGCTGCTCTGAGATTTGCTAGCCAAGAATTGTATGTCCAGTGTGTATTAATGCTGCTTTAAATCTTCAACCTTCACATTTGCAAGCTAGACGAAAAAATTATGGAAGAAAATAGTAAGACAAACACCTTCTTGCTTGATGCAACAATGCTTGATTTTCCCCTCAGCTCTGAAAGATATGGCATAAGTATTGGGCTCCTTGTCGGACTTGCGGACGAGGAATGCCCCATCGTAAGGCACTCGCTTCAGGAATTCTTCTGCCTGCTGACGAGTCAAGGCACTGTGATACCATTCTTTCCCTTCGTGTTGAGACGGCTGAGGGACCGGCTCCTTCAGCGTGATGAGGAACTCCTGACTTCTCAGAGGATGAGTTCGGTAATGCGTGACGAGGTCGTAGAGGCTGTCGAACGTCAGCGTGTCGATCATGTAATATTTGGTCCTTCCATTATCCTGGTGGTTCTTGATGCGACAGTGGTTGACCTGGCCTTGCCGCCAGAAGGAAAGAGAGTAATCCCCGACAAAAGTCTCACTCTCTCGCACCAGGAACGTCCCATCACCCAAGTGTGAATATTCACGTAGAAGTTTCTCTGCGTTGGCACGTCCCCCAGGGAGCCTCCCATGAAACCATTTTTCTCCAAAGTGAAGCTCCTCATTGGGACAGGACTCTTTGACAACAGAGCTGCGATCCCGATCATCCACATCATCCTCACCTGCAGAATCCTCCCGCTCGACCGTGTAATATAGGCGGCTCGGGGTGAGGACGAAAAAGTGCCGATTCCATCGTCGATCCACAGGGTCTTCCAGGTACAAAACACCATTCTTCACCCAGTTTGAGGCATCCCCTTCGGCATCTTCACGTACAGCTGCCACCGTGTCCTCAAGTGAGCTGCTCTCTGGCAATTTCTTGTGCTTCAAGATGACTTTCCTCTTGAGAATCTCAGGAGAGGGCATGACCCCTGATGCAGGATCCAAGCGATGCTTCAACAGGGCATCTCCAAACACCTCCTGGAATGCAACAGCCATCCGCCTCTGCTGAGGGAGGCTGCAGTGGTCTTCAATGGAGAGGATCACAGGGTAGTCAGAGACTGCAAAAGCATGTTCCTTGATTGTCCTCAACACATCCATGAAACCTCCTGGAATGCAACAGCCATCCGCCTCTGCTGAGGGAGGCTGCAGTGGTCTTCAATGGAGAGGATCACAGGGTAGTCAGAGACTGCAAAAGCATGTTCCTTGATTATCCTCAACACATCCATGAACTTGATCTTGGTAGTGAGCGTGTGACCGTGGTATATGTAAGGGATCCCATCGGGTCCATCCCAGCAGTCCAGTTCGACACAGCGGCAGCCCATCCGGAGTGCCCTTGCATAGGCCTCCACCGAGGACTCGCTCGAGAACTGGTCTCCAGTCAGGTAGGTGTTGTGAGATGAAGAGATCCAGTATTGAGAGAGTGGGCGTTTCATATCCTGGGTCACCACCGAGTGTTTTGCATCCCACAGCTCATTTGCTGACGAGAATAGGTACCCAAGAAACTCATTGACAGTGAAGTATGGCTCCTGGACCTGCCTCACTTCATCCTGGAGGTAATTTCTCATTTCAGTTGAAACAACAGCTTCGTCAGTCATCTCCCCTTGTTCCTGCCTTAGGAATGTAATGAAACCCTGTAAAGTTACTGTCCCCTTGGGTCCAACAAAGGCCTTCGTGATCTCTCGTATCCACGTTTGGTCGCCAAGGATTTGATTCAGAAATATGTCAAAGTCATCAAAGTTCAACTCTCCCCGTCGTCTCGTGTCTACAAGTTGGAAAATTTCTTGCAACTTAGAAGTTGGCAGCTTGCAGTTCACCTAGAATTCAAAAGGATTTCTTGTTCATAATGAGTATCTGAGACAATACCTCACTTTTTAACATAATAATTTTACAGCTACTATAGCATAAGCCTCATCATCACCATCACAATGTGATGCCTGCTTTATAGTTGGAAATGGAGGTGTTCCTATTACATCCTTATCAAATTTCCAAGTCTGAACTCAAAAAAACATGTTCCATGAAAAAGTTGTGCGTGTATTTCCAAATTTTATGTACTTGTTCTCTTCTGATGGTAGGTATTGAATGGGAGATGGAAGTTTCCCTTTTTATTAGTAGAGTACCTAGGAAATCCAGGGCTCAAGTTTAATTAAGTAGTAATTAGGATATGATAACAGAAAATCCTGACTTTGATCATATAAATACATCATGCAACAATGGAAATGTCATGGTAGGACCATATGATGTGACTTCCAACTCCAAACCCTGCAGTGACAGTACTTCTATTGTGCCCACCATACAGAACAGGTGCAGATATAATTACAGGTACCTTTTGGAGCCATGATTTTAGGTCCTTGACAGACACAGTGCCATGGGGATTCTCCATGGAGTAGAACTCTTTGCGTAACCACCGCTCCAGCTGCAGCGGATAGGATGCCTTGCGTGTGTCCTCGGCCAGGTGCCTCAGTGCCTTCACCCACATGCGACACTCATTCTCCGAGAGGGCCGCTAGGGAACACGTCTTCATGCGAAATTCCATCCCGTAGAGGAGGACGAAGCACCACTGGGTATCATTTCGTCTGGTATCATCTTGCCACCTGGTGCCCATGCATTAAGGAGGATGTTAAGGGTTATAGCGATCCCAGCTAGTATAACCAAGGGCTCTTAAATAACATGAGGAGAGTTCAATAAATAAGATTGTGCACATAAAATGCAATCTATCAACTTAAGAAACAGACTACTGAGTCATTCATGTTGGTATTAGCAATATTCAAAACTTGTGAGGGTGATAGCACTCTCTCACTGAATGTGCATGTTACAGTACAGTTCTTTTGTGTGCCAAAGATTCAAAACCATGTGATATTTACAGATGAATGCCTGCAGTGTCCACAGACATTTGCATGTCTCAAACAATGAAAAGATATTTCCAAGGACAACACTTTTCTTCAGAAGACAAATTAAAGAGGCAGTAAGGATGTGAGAAAAAAAAATTGTTGTTTTCAGAGAGGATTTTTCATTGATTGAGACATGCAATTATCAGTGTACACTGCATACATTCATTTGTAATTTAAAAAATTCCCATGGTTTTGAATCCACTGCACAAAGAAACTGCACTATAGCACCCTATGCTGGAGTGGATGAATCTTTCACTTTGAATGCCATGTTTGAACTGTACCATTGTGCATGTGCCATGATAGGGTACTACCAACTTCACAAAAATTAAATATTGGTTATATCAACATGACAGTCACAGTAGTTTGTTTCTAATGTTGATAGATCATACTTAATTAACAATTTCTCATTATTAATTGCATTTCCCTCATATTTCATACAAAAGAATGAAAGCCAAAGTCCTACAGTATGACTGAAATGCATATTTTGTGTGAGCCTTCAACAAATTATCAAAAGCACCAAACTTCTTTGTTTTCATTAGATTTATGGTTTACTTCAACTTTTTTTACACAGCAGGTAGTCCTCCCAGTCCCGTATCAGGTCTATTACACAGCATAAGAGTTAATACCATTCTTCTTTTCCAACCTGCCACTCTCACACTTCATAAACTATTGCAATAAGCACAAAAACAGTGGATGTAAGAGTCTGACCTGTCAAATTCTTTAGAGGACCGTGTCGCCCGAACTTCTTTTAACTCGTGCAAGTCGATGGCCCCATCAAAGACAAACTTCCCAGACCCGGCCGTGCTGGTTGGAACCGCCTTCTTCCAGATGACCTGCCTGGTCTCCCGTCGGATCGAGAGTTGGCCTTTCTCGGGTCTCTTCCTCACGTAGAACTTGTAGACCACAGTCCCCCGCTCCAGGGCAGAGATGATGTGCTCCATCTCTGGGAGCGGGCCGGGCGGGGGCGGCACGATACCATTGAGGGAACTCCGAGAACCCGAGCCCCTCATTTTTTCACCCTCTTTTTCTCACCATAGACCTACCATGGACAGGCTTTCTTTCAGCGGAGTCGACACATACAGAAAGTGTTGCGATTTGCAACATTATAGGCTAGCCTAACGCCAAAACTAGACCTAAGAAGTACCACAGCAGTCACCCAGAAAAACATGGAACTCGATAAGAATTTAAAACTAATTCAGAATTACTGAAAAACTCCATGGAGCAAACGCATCCAGCAACGCAGTCGCTCTCACATAGATCATGTAAAAGATGATGACATCCAGATGATGTACAAACCCAAAGAGAATTCCATGGCGGCCGCCATGTTCTTTGCAGGGTTGCCACAAAAGGAAGGAGATCATCTTCCTGAAATTAAGGTTATTTTCTTTTAATTAAAATCATGTCCGTCTATTCCTCAAACAGAAACCATCGCCCTATATTGGATGATCCGGATGATAACCCATAGCACCTTCCAAGACGTTCTGAGAAAATGACTGAAGACATTTATTCCCTCTCGACTGTGCATTGCCACTCCGGATGGCGTAGCGCATTTTAGCTCATTGACCCTTTCCATTCCCACCTTCGTCTCGCCAACCATTGAAACAACTTGGTAGGTCAATTCTGCGCTTTCGAATAAAATCTTCAAAAAATGAAAGGAAATTAAGGATTTTTAACCAAGCAAGCTTAAGATCTAAAAAAAATAGGAGCCATTGGTAAGCAAATATCCTGCTCAGTAAATATTTTGGAAGTACCATCCAATTCCTTTCAATAAAATGCGTTAGGCCGCGAGAGAGTGGTACTATTTATTCTCTAAATTGCTTCGGCGGGCCTTGATTGGTAAGGCAATCAAATGGTGACGCTTTCTTTTTTTTCTCGCTCGGTAAATCAGGTTTAGGTCCTGCGCGTTTCTTTCTCTGCATGGCCAATGGGCGATGGCCAATGAGAGATGGCCAATGCCAATTCTTTCGGCTTCATTTCACTTTCACGAAGAATTCGCTTTTGTTCTTTCTCGATGGAATTTCTCGCCGGAAAATCTCATCCAGCCGAAAAGGCCTCGAGTTTCCGAAGGATTACCTTGTTGAATTACCCTTGCGCAGTTTAATTACCTTTTTATGATGCCGAACTTGAATTGGAGTCTCAATTGGAGTCTACGAAAGTAGGCCTGAAGGTAATTCCCGAGGAAACATGCCTAAAGCAACATCAAGGCAACATCGTCACTTGCTTCGACGTTTTCGTTAAGAAAGAACTCCCGGTTTAAAATCCCAATTGAAATATTCCAGCTGAAAAAGAGCTGGAAAATAGTTTAGGCAAATAGTAAATAAGAAAATAGGTTAGGAAAATAGTAGATACAGGTTGGTTTATAGCCAGAATTTTTCCTACTGGCTCTTTCCAGGCGGGATTTGGGGCAGAGCTGTGACGAGCCTAAAAAAAAAAAGGCGAACATTGAAGACTCGAAAGAGGCGTTCAAGGTTGAGGTGAAAGAACGGGAGTCGACAAGGTGAGCAACACTGGTCGAGACGGCGGTGTCCAACCCACGCATCCGGCATCCCTGATTCCTGTCAAACTCTCCCCATGCTTCAAAACAGGTTATCGCGAGGGAAATAATTAATATGAATTAAGTAATCGAGTTCTGGCGCTCTCTGAGCCCGATGCGATTCTGGAAACGCGGAAATTCGCCAGGCGAGAACCAATCCGACCGATAATTTGATTTGTTGGACGGAATCCATAGATTTCGTCTCGGCGCAGATCTCGTTGCGCGGCGAGGTCCCCATTTCAAGATTCCGCGTTTCGCCTGGACTTTCCTGTCCTTATCATGCAGCTGATAGAATTCGGCGACGTCATCCGGGTTGCCCCCGCGAAAGTCTCAGGTAAAAAAAACTCACCGGATGAGTCAGAGAGATTGAGACCACCTGATTTCGCAGGCGAACTGACAAACAAAAACCTACTTTATCCTTGCCGCTGGTACCCTTTGCCGCTGGTATCCACTGACCGCTGGTACCCTTTACCGCTGGTACCCAGCGTCCTCTCGCTTCGTCCGGAGTCATCGCAGTGACCCTCCGCCGCATTTCATCATCGGCCTCTTCCTCTCGGGGCTTCGTCTCCTGGGCTTTCGATTTCCAGGCAGAGATGGATGGCTTCCGATGCTCTTAGAGCGAAAGGGTGGGCGGGGCCTCGCAAGCGAGGGACAATTGGCACGTCTGAGCTCACAGCCTCATTGTTTTTTTATTATCTGACATTTTGCAGTTGGTACTGGGGGAAATGGCAGATATTGCCATCGGTCTCTCTTTTTTCCCGCCTGTTCATAATATCCATAGCGACCGCGCGACTCGACTCAGTGCGCATGCGCGGCTTTCCGCCTGGGCCGGGGTGCCGGTCCACGACTCAGAGCTTCCACTTCCCTCCCAGCCTTCGCGGATGACGGATCCATGGTGGGCAATGGGAGAGAGCGGCCGCGTGTACAGGGTTGTTGGGCGTGAAATGCCGCGTCTGGCATCCTGAACTTCACGCTCTCTTCCCGTCTCCACGCGACCCGGACGCAAACCATCGAGAACATCGTTGAATTGTCCGAAAATTTTCATGTGCATCTATGACGTACCAATGAGAGCTATTATTTATTTCAAAGTTGGATAGTTAAGATACGGCAGATTTGTACCTGGGCTGGTACTCAAGTTATTTACTTAACTTTTTTCCCCGAAAGGAAACCAAGCCCTCATACTCCCGTCCTGTCGGTGCATCTGCGTCACTGAGGTTGTCCGACGATGGCAACAAAAAAATGGTGCGGGGAACAATGGGGAAATTGCTACGTCGACGAGATGCCAAGTTCGTTTTGGGGCAGATTCGTACCAGACGGCACGAACGACCACCATCATTCCTCGACGCGCGTCGCTCGGCCCTCAATGCGCATGCGCGTCGCTCGGCAAAGGTAACGATGAAATGCCTCCAGGCCTTCCCAGTTCCCTTTTGGCCGTTGCAGCTGACAGATCCATTCTGGACAACGGTGGGGAGACGAAAGGAGGGCGTCGTGTGTCAGCGGAGACAGGGTTGCCAGCCGAACTCGCGCAATATCACGGTTAGCAGTGGTGCACGTGATGGTCCCCTCGCGTAAATCACCCTGGCTCCAATATCCTCCTTTTCGTCATTTAATAATCCCATCACTCCACTGGACTCGCCCGGCTTGTTTTCTTCGGGGCCGTTTCGGCGCCCAGGCCAGTCAACGAGCGGAGGGAATTGGGGGGAGGGGGTTGAAAGAATCGAAGAATGAGATAGGCAGAACTTGATGCGGGACTCGATGATCTGACGAGACATTTCGATAATTAAAATATCGCCATCTCGTCGTCTCTCGAGGGTCAAATGAACCGAAAACGCGAAAACCTTCTCGGGATTTATTCCATCGACGACGAGAATCATCGCGAGAGGCAAGCGGTGGGATTGGACTCCAGGAAGCAACTGAGCCGCTCGAGCAGGGGGCAGGGCTGTCCCTACCCAAGGTCACGGCCATCTGGACCTGAGGAGTTTCGATTCGTCTCGAGTGAGTTTAAGAAGGGGGGCGAGAGGGGGGAGGGGTGGGGGCAAGGGGGGGGAGGGGTGGGGGGCAAGGGGGCGGGAAGTTACCTTGGAGGAGACGCTTTCGATGTTTTCGTAGGACATGAACGTGTCGGTGGTGTAGGCGAATGGGACGCTGCGGAAGAGGTCCATGTCCGCGGTCCATTGGTTATCCTCCAGGGTCTCACATACCTACCAGAAAAGGGATTTAAAAAAAAAAAAATGGATCGGGTGAAGGACTCGGTCGGACTCGGTCGCGTCACCTCGGCGTAGCAGTAAGAGCCGGCCTGGGTGCAGTAAGGGCCAGCGGCGCCGGCGTCCTGCACCTCCATGTACCATTCGGGAGTTTCGGCGGAGTGTTTGTAGGTGCGGGCGGAGAAGGGGATTCCGAGCACCAGTTTGTTGGCCGGGACTCCGAGGCCGGTGTACATCTCCACCGTGCTTTCCTTCGGGAGGAAAAAAATTTTATTCAGCGGGGGGAGGGGGGTTGGGGGGGGAGGGGGCGGAAGGGGGGGAGGTCGACACTTACGACGTTGAATTTCACGTTTTCTGGGGGATCGCCTGGTCCCTCGTAGAGAGCGGCCTGAGGTCCGATGAGGCATGACTCTAATCGGGGGTCGCACGTGTAGTAATCGTAGGCCATCACATTCAAGAAGTCTACGTGGGTGGCTAGGTTATCTCCTGAAGTCGTCTGGAACAGGCGACAGGAGAAACTCGAGAAGTGTCAGGGGACGCGCGGGAGGAAGACGGGAATTCGCCTCACGAAATCGAAGCCGGGGTCGAGAAGCGCCTGGGTCGGTGGGACGGCCATGGAAAGGATGAGGCTCTCCTTCCCCTCAGGCCTCGGGATGCTTTTCAACGCTGCGCTCAGTTCCTGCAATGGAGGTGCGGCTACAGCGTCCATTCGATCCTCGCCCGACGAGCTATGGTGGACGAACCTTCACGAATTGCAGGAAGTTGGCTTTGTCCACGGGCCGGCCGCCTCTCAAGCCCGGGTATTCCCAGTCCAGGTCCACGCCGTCCGCGTCGAACGTCAGCACCGTGCGGATCGCGCTGCAAGGACGGAAACGAAACCTGAAGTCGAAGACGACACGGAGAAGTCGTCCCGGACCGATACCGACCTGTGAATGAATTTCTTCCGGCTCTCTGCGGTCTCGACCATCCTCGTCCACTTAGGGGACGCCTCGTTCCACCCGCCGATCCCCAACATCACCGCAAATCCTCCGGTCTCATCCCTCCTTCTCACCAACCCCCGAATGAGATCTACGACAAAAACGATCCCCCCTCAAACAACCGCCAACCTCCCTCCCCAAATCCTCGTACCGACCTTTCTCTCCCCCATCGCATTGATTGTGATCCGCATTCGGGTCGATAGACGTAAGGAGGAGCGACTCCTCCTCGATCCCCAGAAACGAGTAAACCACGTGGGTGCACAGCTCCGTCCGGAAGTGCTCCAGGTCGAACATCCCCTGATTGGGACGGTAGATGGACCACGTCCCCCAGTAGCAGACCACCCTTTTCTGCCCCCATGCAGATGCGAGAAGTAGGGGCAGGAGGAAATACAGTATACACAAATCCATGTCTGAAACCTAGACAGAATGGGAATAGTCCGAAGAGACGACCCAAGTTGCAACCAAGATAAGCGAATCCACAGATGTCAGTTCCCACAAAACCCCGAACAGGTGAGAGGGCTGTTTGTCGTGTGCGAAATTAACAGGAAAACCAAGCCGACAGGAAAACAAAAAAGGTGTCTTTATTGTGAGAATTTATAAGAACAAAGACAGGTCTTAAATGAGGGTGGTCAAGTTCTGAGGGCCAAAAATTGGTGGAAAACCTCCAGGATGTTGGAATCCAATTCGGGAGTGAAGAGAAGAGTCTCCAGGGTGTCCTTGCACTTGTTCACCTGCTCCTCGTGCTGATCAACGACCGAAAATGAGTCACGGGTCTTAAAAAACGAGGGAAATGAAATTGAAATGGACTGACCAGCATAAAGACTTGTTTCAGATGTCCAAGAGTCCAGAAGTACCACCAGGTGTGGAAGTCCTTCCCGTCCGTGTCGCAGTGGACGATGTGCTCGCTCAGTATCATGATGAACCTCTGCGATAGAAAAGAAAATTTTGCAGCCTTTCCCCCTCGTGAACTCTCCCACGATATCCACTTCGATCTGGCGATACCTGAAAGACGATGAGAAAGAGGTTCTTCTGATCTGCAAGTGCAGACTCGAGCTTTTCCTCCAGCTTTTCCAGTGCATCCTCTGTTGGTCGCTGATCTCCTGGCTCTCCCTCTTTGTCACTTTCCTCACTCTCTTCACCCAATTTCTAAGTGAAGATGGGAACAAATCCATATAAAGCCATTCCTCACATGCAGACAGTTGAGGGGATATATGCAGGAACCCACCTTGAGCTTCTCCTTGGTCTCTGCCACCTCTTGAGACAGCTTTTTCACATACTTACTCATCTTGCTTATGGTCATATGTAGGATCTCCCAAACATACATTCTGCCATGGATTGCAAAGAATAAGGAGAAATGGGCCAACAAAGAAGCATGAAGGCGGGGCAAGCACGAAAACCAACCTGGTGAATTCAGGAGCCATATCCCGTGAAAAGATCCAGTTTGCCACAGCTGCACACTCGATGATCTGCGTCTTGAGGAGCTTGTCAATGAGGACCAGCTGCATCTGTTCATCCCCCAAAAATGCAGAAATATCTTTGACTTTCGGGAACTGTGGTCTTGTCGATTGGGCTTTAACAAGACCCCTCTCTGACCTGTGGATGTTTCAGCCAAACTTGATGGAGATTCTTCAGCAAGCATATTTGGGCATCCTCCGTCTGAATGAGCGTCTTGAGAACAGGATGGAACTTGGTGATGGCTGCAAACGAGTGCGAGAACGTCTTGGACCCAAGGTAAAGGAGCGTCTGAGTGAAGACCTCGATCTGGAGTGGATGGTACGGGGGATCGCCGGATCCGTCGACGGTCAGGGGGTTCGGCAGGTCTTCCAGGACCTTCAAGGCTTCATCTGGTGTGCATTTCTGCTTAATGGCTGCCAAAAGGTTGTGAGCTGCTGTGGTCCCTGGCAGACTGCCTGAACAGCAAAACAAAATACACACAATTCAAAACACCTCTATGGCAGGTCTATCATAAGAACGATGGAAAACTTCCTCATTTCAGAATTGGAATTTACAATCTATTTGATGAACATAAAAATATGACTGGACTCACTGGCGCTTTCCTGGGTGTACTTGTAAACTGGCTCTGCTTTTGGTGGATGAAGAGGTGCAAAGGACTCCGGAGTGACCTCAACGAGACGCTGAAGATATGCCAATCTGTAGCAGAAATCACACAAGAGATGGGTGTGACAAACAGGGAAAATAACTACCCAAAGTTACACAAACCAAGAGATGTAGCAGGGAAATACCTGAGGCATTTGGCAAGGGTTTCCTGAATGAAAACAGGCTTTGGATGAAGGGAATCCAAGGACAGACAATCCTGCCATTCACCCCAGCTCCAGCGGAACTGATAGTTGCTTAAATGATAGGCAAACCAGGAGGAGAATCTGGAAGAAATTAGGATAGGATCAGAAAAAAATTCATTTTTGAAAGAGTGGAACATTATGAAATTCCTTTTAGAAGATTTTCCCATGATTCTGGGATCAATCTTAATTTTCTATTGTTGTGAAAAGCACCACACTAATTTTTTTCAGGCCATGTGCATAAGGTGGGCACAGGGTGAACCAGCGGTTACCATGTGGTAAAACTATAAACTACCTTGATCTTCAAGATCGACTTGGATGAGATATTGAAGGAATTCTGAACCACTGCAATCATATGGAAAAGAAGGCTCATTTTACCTAATGTCCTAGACTAAATAATTTTTAGAATTCTTTGTAAGCTAGAGGGCCTCACTTTCTGCTAGGAAAACCATCAATAAAAATGTTAGCATCACATTTTGTTCATAGTGACTGGCTCACCTCTGAGCCCCACTGTGAAGAGAATGACATTCAATTTGGTTGCACAGATATGCTACATCAACAATGCCCACTCTCACTGGTCAAATACATTTTCCAAGATTTTCATTTGGATGAAGAAAGTAAGGCCACCATTTCCAAAGTCATTGAATATTGCTCCCTTATCATCAACCTGATATTCTGAAGTGATCAAAAACATAAAAAAAACACCATATTGCATAGTATGCAGCATTACAGATTTCTGTCAAATAGGATTTGAAGCATAAATGCACCTTTGGATGCAGTCAACATTCATGGTTTCAATTCGAGAGAAGATCATCTCTGTGGCTTGGGCCAGGACTTGAGGGATGGTTGACGGTTGCAGAGTGCAGAGTTCGATGAGGAGACTCCCATAGAAGACCTCGAGGTAGCGGGAAGAAGGGAGACCGAGGAGCTCCGAGATGATCACCTCCACCACCATGTATTCCAATGGCACCTTCCCTCCTCCCTGATAGGGGAACAACAGGAGCTGGGCAGCACTGCAATCAAGAGCAGCTCTTGTCAATCAATACAAAAACAATCAATACACACAGGTAATAGAAAATGTGGGAAAACTCAAGAGGCATATGTAACATTTCCTATAGAAATTTGTTGAAATAGAAAGGTTTCTGAGTGGGAAGGGGGGCTAAAATGGCAACAGCAACTTGGGCAATCAGAGCAAGTCAGGGGGACTGCCTCCATTGACAACCCCATGAAAGAAAACAAAGTCTTTCCATGGCAAAACAAACTTGCAACCAGCAACTATGATTGGAGAGATGGAAGCAAGGCAGAAAGAACAAGACAAAAGGAATGAAATAAAAAGACGAACCATTCTTTGCGATTAATATGGTGTAGTGCTATGATGTGATGCAGGTGTTCTTCAATTAGATATCTCTCAATTGCATGAGCTCCAGGCAGCACAGGTCCACCCTGAAATAAGGTAATTCATCATTACACACCAAAGCCTATGAATGAGGAGGGACTCGTGGAGTTAACTTGCCTCAGGACAGTCAGTGTAGTCGAACAGACGGAACACGATCCACGGTTTGGGATACGAATGGTCGGCGTGATGCGGCGGGGGAATGATGGTGGGAAGATTGTGAGTTACACCCTCAGAAAGAACACTGTGGAAGGACATGTATGGGTGGGGCAGGTGCTTCTCAACCCACCCATCACCCTTCAACTTGACTATTTGGGCCCAGAGGCAGTCCAAATACTGAATGGAGAATCCAGAAAAGAGCAAGGACATAGAATGAAATAGAGCAAAATGAGAGGAAACAGGAACCAAATGAGAAAGAAGGGGAATGGAACCTCTTCCTGAGGGTGTGGATCGTCTGACAACCAGACGCGGAGCCCTCCGACGTGAGTCTTCTTCCTCTTCTCTAATGTAGACTGAATCATGGAGAGGATGCGATCCAGATCACCACTTCTCTTCTCGAAAAGTGCTTTCCCAACAAATGGGAGACTCCCCAAGACCGTGAAGATGAACCAGTCCTTCCGCACCTAAAAGCCACACAACAGGTTCAATTCATCTTCATTCACTCACATTCCTGACCAGAAAGAAAGGAAGAAAGAAAGAAAGTTCTCACTTGAGGTACATCATTTTCAGAACCGCTCTGAACAAAGGAATCCATGAGTTGGACGACGGACGAAAGTGCCAAGACCCGAGTGTTGCCCAAGTCACAGATGAAGCGAAATGTATACCTGCCCTTTTCCCATTCACATGCTTTCATGGCATCTTTCAGCTGTCGCACCAAGGCTTCCACCACCTTCCCAAATTATAACAAATAAAACATCACAGAATTTGCACAATCAACAATAGGCCAAGAACCCATTAAAAGAACACACTCAGCCTAAGAATGAACTGAAAAATGTTTAAAAAAACAAAGGACACAAGAGCAGAAATGGTTACCTGTTCACATGTTCAGTAATTATTAAGGAACCACATGTGACAGCTAATTAAGTACAGCAAAGGTTTCAAAACATTTTTTTTGAGAAGAAAATATTGTCAGAGATTGAAACATGCATTGGTTTATAACAATGAGTAGCAACAATTTTGCAGTGCTTTCATGTGGCTTTTGAACAGGATTTCCTTCTTTTTTTTTCAAGCTCTTTTTAACAAAAAAAAAACAGGCTGTGATTGCATGTAAGCAGGAAACTGCAGGGCAACCCATTAAGCTCTTTCAAAGCAAATGATCATACAACTCCGAGTATATGGGGGAAGGGAACGTGCAATAGCACTTCACCCCGACCATCGGCAGAAAACAGGATGAGCTTTGGGATTGAGGATACTGAGGCACTCTGCATTCATGAGAGGAGAGAGTATATTACAAACTTATCTATAATTATATCTTATTATTATCCTTTGATGTCTCTCCACAAAGGGAAATTGAAGGAATTACCTGGCATTACAGATAATGCCAGGTATTTCCTGGCATTACATACTTCATGCACCATGCAGATGTTTCCAGATCTCAGTCTGGTCTGACCCTGGTCTCAGTACTGGTCTTTTGGAGCATTTCAGATCTTTGTTAAAAACTCTGTTAGACTTCTCGTGTCTTCCTTTCACTCCTCATAATTTTGCATGAGAGAAAGGACACCTTGGAATGAAAAGAAGCCAGTCCTTGTCCATGGTCAAGGTGGCCTTCAAATGATAAAAAGTTAAACTATTCTATCAAAGGCAAAACCTGTTCTTTCTTTTCTCAAATGTACCATCCCCATTCATCATGATAAATTGCAAAATTGCCCATGACTGGTTTAGGCATCTAAAACTTCTTACTCACCTCTCCCCCAAAAGAGTAGTTTTTTATGTTAATCAATCCAATGAGAGTTGCATATATAGAAGATTTCTCTGGCATGCGAATGATGCAATCGAGCAGGATCTGTATGATCTTGGCCTTGTAAGCTTCAAGATCCTGCTCCAGCAATCCCACCAAAGTCTCCAGATTCCTCTCCAGGGAGCTGCTACTCTAAAGACGGATACAGGACGTCTTCTAAAGTCTTGCACAGATTTCAATATAAAGCAATGAAGGTCTCCAAGTTACCTTTTCTCCAACCCTGACCAGAAGAGACTCCAAGCCATCTTCAACTTCCAGTGCCTGTGGTTCCACAGCATATCGCCTTCTCTTGGCAGGAGGATAATCTATAGCAGAAAATAAAAGACATCCTGCTTAGACTATGTAACAGTAACTATATGCATAGGCAAATCATGCAGGCTTGGTTTCCAGACAGCCAATGGATGGTTCAAACAGTCAGCTTAATTGTACATAATTTAAATTTACCAATGAACAGAGAGAAGCAATTGCATTTTATTTCAACGAGATGTGGACAAATTCACAGTCACTTTCTTGGCTTAAGATTAGGACAGGGGATTTGCAAATAGAAGTAACCTAACAAGGCAATATGCCTCCTGGATATAAACACAGGCACTTACAAAGGACTATATAGGTCTGCAAGTCAAAGATCTGGTTACAGGAGGAATAACTGACATATTCATGAGAGGGACTTGAGGGTGGGGCTAATTGGCAAATGAATAGCAATGAAGCTTCAGGTAAAGCTCTTCACTCAGGAGAAGCCATTGCACTGGTCCTGGTCTATCCACTCACTCAGACAGAGGCTATTTTCTATTCTAACACATCATCTGTTATTTACACATGCATAAATAAGCCTGCTTTCAGCATTGTATGCTGAAAGCAGTTGGTAAAAGGCTTGAACATCCTACTGGTGTAAAAACTCATAATTTAAATCAATATAATGCTTGTCAATTCACACATGTACTATGGTTTTCATTTTCAAATGAGCACAGGCAAGTTTCAAAGTTACAAAAGCAATACCAGACTGTAAATGAAAACAAATGGACTGTATATATTATTAATAAATGCTGTCCATTTGTCCATCATAAAAATTGCTATGTACAGAAGCTTTACTTAGTCTCAAGAACACAAGAGGACATACACTCCTGTAGTAATTGCAGCCAACTATTTCTTGGAATTGGTGCATGAAATAAGGCAATTCATGCTGTATAACAGATGAAACAATGTTTGAAGAGTAGCTTTGGGTACCTCAAATCCCTCAATTCTATTTTTTTATATAAAAAAATTGATAAATCTTACTTCCATTAATTAAATTAAGCCACAAGCTATGAATTCTCATAGAAGAAAGTTCAAGTAGTGATCTATTTTAAAAGTGAATATCACCTTTCTCCCCTCAAACCTAAAATGACCAGGGAAAATTTTCAGTATGAATAATATAAGATATTTGCCCATGGCCATGACCACCTTCAATATAGATTTTTGCTCAAATGGAGGAGTATTACAGAAGTCAAGAAAATTTTTTTTTGCAAGAATACCTCAAACAGAAAAACAAGTACTTTTATTGAAAAAAATGCTAATTAAAATGCAGTATAAAAAAAGTTAATTTAAAGAATTAACGCTAAATTGATATCTCTCTGCCCAAAGCCAAATAGGATTTAAGAAATATTTCCATACAAGGTCTTTCCTATTTCTTCTTTGTTATTCAACATAGAGGAGCACTTCAATCCAGATATTACAGGTCTCATGGAAGTAAACAAATGTCTTCACTGAAAGGGTAGGAGAGACTCAAAGGAATGGAAAACTTCATTGAAAGGAAGGCAAGCACTGCAATAAGTCTGGGAAGCTCTTACTTAGAAAGTAGAAGATATGAGAGAAGAGAGGGTATGTTTTTTTTTGCCCCTGGGATCATGTGGTACATGATGATAAGGAAAAGAGACCAGAACAATTTTTATTTACTAAAGCAGGAGTGCACCTTTGAGAAAGGATTATAAATAATCACCCTTAGAGCTTTTGTACTTCACCTCTTATCCTGAGAATCCCGGATTAACCAGATGAGAATGGCTCAGGGCCATTTTTTGTTAACGCAGATGCATCAGAAAATGCACCTAGGTGAACAGAAGCTACAAAGGCAGGCATTCACATTACATTGGGAATTTTCTTGACACTATGAGGCCTCTGTAGGGAATATTCATTTCATTAAGATTAAGGAAAGTGCTAGATTACTTAAAGGTGGAGGGTCACATGTCTCATGCCAACTGGAACATCTTGTTTCTTAGCTCTCAATTTTAATTTTAATTTAAAATAAAAATATGAATAATTAAAAAGGGAAAAATCTTATTTAAAAAGTAGAATAAGCCACTACCAATCTCAAAAGAAAAACATATTTCTTTTAATTTTCTCTAGCTACACTTCTTACATAAAGGTGTGATTTTATAATATTCATATTGGAATTTTGCAGGGCTTAAGCAATATACATGAGGTATACTGTCTAACTTCCCTTGGCATCCTGATTGCTATGATTGACACTGATATTTAAATATATATATTGATAAATCTTACAAATATATAAAGTTCTTAGCCTCACCACATTTTGGAATGGGGTTCAGAGGGATATGCTCTATATTTTGCTACTTTGTTTCACTTTTAATTTAATGGGGCTAAGAGATCTTATTAGAGATATGGGTGAACTGAGTACTTTCATAGCTCAAATGGAAGGGACAGGAATCAGGAACTGAAAAATGGCTTAAGAAAATTCTTAAGAAGATTTCCTAAGAAAATTTTCTTAGGAAATCTTAACACATCCTCCATCATCTCATCTACCCAGTACTGATGCCTATTGTATAATTCCCATCACTTGGAAATAGTCAGTTTTCCCAGCATCCAACAATACAAAAAACCCCCAGAACTATCCATTTACAGAAATATGTACTCATGATGATGATGAAAGCATATCTTTTTTGCACCACTGACATGAGTGATGCCAAATTAGTAACACCATTTCTAGGGGATTAATAACTAATGGCACATGTAGTCTCTCTTTGGGCCACACATGAATTTAAATTTGTCAAATTTTGCTGCTGACATAACATTACATATTTCAATCAAAGTATAATCATGGACTACAGAGAGACAAGAAAGTCATAATACCATCATAGCCAATGATGAGGACCCCTGGGATGGCACTCCTGAGTGAATTGCTAACCGATCAAAGGGCAAGGTGCTGGGGCAATGAAAATTAGTAAGATATAACTTGCTGGCAGTTAAATTTGATGCAGATGCAGTCTACTATTGCCTTAAACAATAGTTGTTTGATTCAAATAATGGGGTAGAAATATATTTAGGTAAAATGAAACCTGATGACCTCTAGATGATATATTTATTACCTGCATCATTTAAAATATTTTGAGGTCTAGGTCATCACAAAACCGAAACATCCTTTAATGATAGGCCCATTCATTGCTTCATTTGAAGATTAATGATGAGATAAGATCATTTAATAGTTTAACAGCCAACTCGCAAGGAATAAAAGGAAGAAACATTGCGAATAGAGCATATTTCACTTAATACACATAACCATGATCATGCCAAAAGAAGGAAACAAAAAAGGGCTGACAAAGGAAAAGGTATTCGTGTCAATTATGAGCTAAAAAGTATGTGCCATGAGTAAATTGGGTAAATGAAAGAAAAAGAAAAAAGACACATTCTTCAGAAGCGATTAACAGTATTATTAAACCTCATAACGAGCAACGTCAAGGCCAATTTTTCTTACAGGTTGTAATGACCATTTTCAAAATTACTGATGATCAGGCATTTTATCTCCTCAATAATGACACCATTTGGCAACAAATTTCAGAGCAGTCACAACGGATACTTTACAAAAGGTTCACTAGTTTTATTGGTAGGCCCATAGCTTAAGCTATCAGTATCAAAGCTTTACAATTATGTATGCAATTACGATTGGCCATATTATTATTACAAACCGGCAGACGCCGATAAAAGCCACGTCTTAGTTTCCCATAGGCCGAAGCTTATATTTGCTTACCTCCTCCTTGGAATCTTTTCCTACTCATCCTGGAAAAGCAATTCACTTCCTAGATCTGCAGCGCGCAGGAGAGCAAATAAATTCTTTTCAGGGAGTTGATCTCACACGTCCAACTCGGCGAGTCAGCAGGCAGCCGCCATGTTGGATACGACGCAGAGCGCACCGGGACCGTGGGCCACGGCCGACTCGGGACCGCGGGACAAACTCGCTCCCGCAAACCGGGAGGAAATGGGCGGGGCCTACGGCAACATGGCCACGCCCACTCCACCTACGGGCTCTTGCTCGGCGCTTATGACTTTTCATCTCTCAAGGAGAAATCCCTGCTAGTACAGCGTCTTTCCTCCTTTGAGCCAGAGGAACGGAGGGAGGACGCTCGAAATGTCTTGCAATTACGCAGAGGGGCTCTCGTCCTACGAGAACAAGGGCAAGTGTGGATTGCCTGAGGTGAGTATGCCAGACCTGGAACTTACGCTCGGTGTCACTTGCTCCTTTACCGCGCATTGAACTTGCCTTAACTGATCATTTGCGTCATTCTCAACGTAGACATGCCCATAGGGTCTCCATTATCCGGAATTGAGTTATGCCATTTGACATTACGTAAGGCTCGGATAATTTTTAAATTTAATTTTAATTCCCAATTCATGAGAGCACATAGGACTGGGACAAACCCTGAGAAAGACTTATGAAAGAGGATTGAAAGAAGTATCAGATGGCATAAAAGTAGATTCAAGGAACAAATGAAATGTTTAATGGCAGTGTGCCAAAGCTTCAGCTTTTCATAACATTGGGTTATAGGCTAAATTATCTCCCCCCCCCCCTTCTTCAGACTTCTTATATAACAATCCAAGGAAATGTCCCAGGTGGTCTAAGTCTGTGACTGCCAACTTGTTTATTTGTCTAGTAGTGCCCTCTTTATTGATTCAAGAGAAAGATAACACAAGTAGTCAGGTAATAGGAGAACTGAAGGGCTTTGGTACCCTGCCATTCATTTTATATTGAAGATAAGAGTAGACTCTGATGTTAGTTGAAAGGTAGCCATGTTTCAAGAGGTTCAAGTCATTACACGACTAAAGACTCTTCAGGGAGAAGGTTTTTGCATAGGACTTCAACAGTACTCGAGTGCCGAGTAAAAGATTCTCAAGCTTGCAATGGTATGGAGTCGAGCTTAGTTTGCCAACCTTCAGGATGCAGCAAGTAGCAGTGTGTTGTACGCACTCAAATCTTCTGCACCAAGAGAAATGTATTGTCGTGATCAAACGAAGAGGAAAATGTTGATATGTAATGAAATATAAGTAAAGGGACTGAAGTCTGTTAAAGTGGACTCGAGGGAACGCCGAGTGAATGCCGAGAGGGGAGGGGGTAGAAGGATAACCATGAGCTTATGTAATCCATGTTCAGTTGCTTGAGCACAAGTGTTAAGAGTGCCATGCACTTACAAATGTGACTGTAGCCTGATGAAGCCAAGTTTGCTTTGGATGTGGACAGATTTAGGGGTTTAGGCTTTCTGAGGTAGCGTAATGAGAAGAAAATTTTCACTTCCCACCAGATATTTGACAGCCCTTCAAAAGTCGATGAGAAGGTGAAGAGACTTGCAGAATGGATGAGAGGAAGCAAACACACTGTGCTCCACACAGGAGCTGGGATCTCCACTGCTGCTGGAATACCTGATTTCAGGTTTGTTTCTTCCAATTAAATTTTCCTCAAAGTGAGCTTTTAAGCAGTGAAGATGTTGGGTAATCAACAGAGGGCCAAAAGGGGTGTGGACGCTGGAGCAGAAAGGCGAGAAGCCACAGGTGGACATGGGTTTTTCCAAGGCCCTGCCAACCAAGACGCACATGTTCATAGTTGCCCTGGAGAAGGCGGGTCAGTTGAAGTCAAAGTCGTGAGACCATTTGGAATTTTAGGAGTTTAAGGCAGCTATCTGATCTTCTCCTTCAAGGTTACATTCATCATGTGATCAGCCAGAACATCGATGGTCTTCATCTCCGATCTGGATTTCCCAGAGAGAAGCTCTCAGAGCTGCACGGGAACATGTTTGTTCGACAATGTAACGTCTGTCAGAGGTTTGTTTTCATGAATGTGGCTGTTTTCCTTAATCGAGAATAATCTTACAAAACTCAATCTTTTTCTATATGATTTCTGACTTTCTCTAGATCTTGGGCAACAGAAGATCCAGTGAAGACTGTGGGACAGAAACTCGTCGGACAGGCTTGCTTTGGGCAACGGGACAGCGGGAGACCGTGTCGGGGGAAACTTCGGGACAACATCCTCGATTGGGAAGATCGTCTCCCGGAACGGGACATGCAGGTTGCCCAGGCTCATTCACTGTATGATCATTTTCCCCATTTCGCTTCCCTCCAGTCTTGCAGGATTTTTCATGCTGTCATTCTCTTTTCATTTTTTCACCTTCATCGAGCAGGGCAGCCCAGTTGAGCATTTGCCTAGGGACAACTCTTCAGATTGTACCAAGTGGGAATCTCCCAGTTCTCACCAAGAAGACGAAAGGAAGGCTCGTGATCTGTAACCTGCAGCCCACCAAACATGTCAGTTTTCCTAAGAGAGAGAATAGTGTAAACTAGGGCTGTCAATTTGATTAATTTGATTGATTAATCAAATAAAATATTATATGATAAAATTATGAGAGGAAAATAGGCATTCAGGGGGAGATTAAGGGATCGATTAAAATTTAATTAATTTTGATTAAATTTTAATGTCGCTATTATTGTCTGTTTCAGTTAATTTAAGAAATGGAAAAATAAAAAAAATACTTATTTCCCTTTGTTTTTGCTTGTCCCTTGCTCTCATAAATGCCTATATCCTCTCAATTTCGCTCATACTTTTGGATGCAAAATTTGTTTATACATTATGGAGATCAAGTAGAAATAATGCAAGTTTACACTTTTTTGGCCGTTCATTTCTTACAGTGCTTGAGACAGACAATAATACTTTATTAGATTAATCAATTGACTAAATTAATTGAATTGACAGCCCCAGTAAAAATGTTTTGGCTGTATATTTTAAGTAATCAAATTAGAAATTCCTAATCATAGTAGCAGTATCTCATGCCAGTTTGTTCCCATCCATTTGAAAACATGCCAGTTTAGATTGAGACTATTGAGCTATCTCAAAAACTACATTTAAAAATTTTCAAATAAATCTTCGAGTTCTCATTTTTTCATTTGGTCAAGTAACACCAAATAGATGGGGGATTTGAGATCCAATTGGACTAAAGAAAATGCAAAAGTACCAGCAACTTGTGGGCCATACATGCTTGTTTCCTCATAACCTCTTTAACGTTTTAATTGTTTTTCATTCCCTATGAATTTCCTTTATCCTTCACTATCCCATTGAGGGTGACATTTGTGATTCTTGTTCTAGGATCGAAAGGCAGATCTCCTGATCCACACATATGTGGATGACATGATGGAGAAGCTCTGCAGTTACTTGGACGTCAGGCCTCCGGAGTACAAACCCAAGATGGGAGTGATCCTGGAACCAATGGAATGGACCGTCAGAGACGAATGGTTGAAGGACTTGCCCAAGGTAGAACTTCCACAGAAGAAACGCAAGAGACGTGGAAAGCCCTTCCAAAGGGGACATGCAAAGCGAGAGCGGTCACACGTCAGAGCCAAACCTGAGTTCACTCTTCTGAAGAAAGAACCGAAAGAAGAGGAAGAAGAGGAGGAAGATGAAGAAGGAATAGGTGAGACACCCTTTCAAAACGGAGACGACTCTGCAGGCGACACTGAGTCAGGTTGTATCGACTCCAAGCAAGAGCCCATGGAACAAGATGATGTTGAGAGAATGGATGAAGGGGAGAAAACTAGACAAAATGGAGACAATTCAGAAGCATCTGAGACTGATGAACCGAAGTCTGCAGGAGAAAATATGCGAGACAGAGAAACTGTTTCTGACTGCATGGGGAAGAAAGAGAAGCTGAGTTTGGATCCCACAGGAGATATGGAGGGTAGCAAGAGCCATAGTGATGAGGGGAATGCCAGACAAACAGGAAACCACTCAGAGTTGCCAGATGCAAACAACTTGGGTTCCAAGGCTGGTGATGTGAGGGATGAGAATGAAGAAGCGGGGAAGAACACCGCCTCAAACGATGCAGACTGCCCTGTCTGGGACCATGAAGAAATGATGAGGCTGCAAGAGGAGTCAATTCAAGACTCCAGTGCCAAAGAGGAAGTTAAGAAGCAAGAGATGGAAGATGAAAGCAGGCAAGAAGTTCCCATTCCAGGAAGCACTGGCGAGAACTAGGAATCCGTCACTCGTGGTCGTTCGGACGCCTCGATCGAGGCCGACTCGCATCTGCACGACTCCGAACCGATCGGAGGCTGATCCTCCCAAAGAATCCTCTTCCTCGTGCGCGAGTGTTACGTCTTTGCATCCGTCTCGAAGCCGGACACTTGTCCGTCTCTAGTCGTGGACCAAGGGACTCTCGAATCAAGCCCACATTCCCTTCCTTGTGTATCGATGTTTTCATGTCTTTGATGATGAGAGATTATGAACTGTTCTGAGAGTCAAATATATAAATATTCTTCACTCTGTTTTGATTCCGGTCGTGACCGATGAGAGTTCCTCGAGGGAATCGAGCTCTCGTACTGGGTAAACTTAAACGAATCGAGAACTCGCATGACAGTGTATGGGTAACGTTTGACTGCTCCACATCATGGAAAGTTTCACAATGATGAATGACAAAAGCAAAAATTAAAAAAGGACACTTAGACCGATTATGAACACAAGAACAGAGGCTCCTCGAACATAGGTAACTATCGGAGTCACCAGGCACAAAGCTCGGAATTCCTTCATCGAACACAAAACCGCAAAACCACGAAAAACCACGTCTTCACCCACGCGCCAGCGTCCGCTCGACAAACCTCTCCAACGCACGCTGCAGCCTCACCGCCAACGCCACCGCGAGCACAAGCGCCCCCGCCACCACCCCAAACCCCACCGCCTCGAACACGAACCTCGGCGCGAAAATCTTCCAGACCATGAGGTGTCGCCTGAGCATCCCCCCCGCCAGCATCGTCCCGACCAAGCAGCACGCCGACGCGCACCCCGCCCTGCACGCCGCCTCCGCGCACGCCCCCGCAAACCCCCTCTCCTCCCACACGGAAAACTCCCCCTTCGGGAACCTCCTCTGCCCCGGCAGAACCGCCGGCGCCACCACGTACAACGGCAGCACCAGCGCCGACAGCGCCTGCACGCCGAACGTGTTCGCCCCGACCAGCACCGCCGGCACGACGTGCGACGCGAAACCCCCCGACTGAAACGCAAACGCCGCCTCCCACTGGATCGACGGAAACGTAAAGGCATGCCCCGTCGCAAAAAACCCCAACCGCGTCACCACCGACCACGAAAACGCCCCAAACACCGACACCGACATCCCCTCCCCCTCCAGCCCCTCCACCCCCTCCAAACCCGCAAAAACCCCATGCAAAACGAAAACGAGCACCAACGGAACCGCGTGCACGTCCCCCATCAAAATCGCCACCGGAAAGAACAAAAACACAAAACCCACCAAAAAAAACGCGGAATAAACATTCCCCAACCCAAACACCATCGGCCTCGGCCCCTCCTCCCAATTCGACCTCAGATACTCCACGATCCCCTTAACCCCCCTCGGCCTCACCGGCAAGACCCAAACCATCAAGGGCCACCCCACGACCCCCCCCCACCCGACCCCCGCGACCCCCACCGCCACCAACGCGACCCGCTCCGCACTCTCCCTCGGCTCCCCGCACCTCAACGCCCACGCCGACACCGTCAGCACCGCCAGAAACGGAATCGCGTATCTCACGTACAGCGTCTTCGCCCCCTCCCCCGCCAGATTCCCCTGCCCCCTCAGTCTGACCCACACGCCCGCGGCCACGCACGCCACCGCCGTCGACGCCATCGCGAATCGCGCCCCTCGCGCATCCGCCGGCACGTCCCCCAGCGTCTTGTGCGACACGTACTCCACGCACCACCCGCTCGTCTCCTCCCTGCACTTATGAAACATCGTCGCCACCCTGCACACCACGCCCACCCCCACCACCGCGAACACGCCCCACGGCGACTCCCTCGCCCCCCGACACGTCCCGACCCGCACAGCCACCGCCGTCGCCACGAAGAAAACCAACACGCTTTCCTCCGAGATCACAAAGCTGTTCGAGAGAAACATGACCACCGAAAATCCGCAGACCAGCGCCTTCACGCACCCCCACGGCGACCGCCTCACGAACGCCACGCGCCCCGGCCAAGCCACCCCGCACCTCCACGCCCACGCGATGCAGCACGCCGCACCGAGCCCCACGCCCGACCAGATGAATCCGGGCTCGAACGACACCCACGCCTTCACGCACTCCTCCTTCACGCGCTCGAAATACGCGTCGAACGCCTTCACCGTCGGACCGGCGTCCACTTCCGCGTCCGCGGACGCCAGACCCTGCAAGAAGTCGCTCGAGCCGTGCCTGGAGTATTCCTCGAGATAAGTCCGGATCTGGCGCCGATTGGCCCCGAGAGCGACGAGGAGATCCCGCTCGTTCTCGAAGGCCTCGGGAATCACCCGCCCGACGTTCGAGAACGGGATCGGCACGCCGAGGAGGAGGGCCAGCGTCGGGACCAGATCGATCTGGTCCACGAGGGGGACCGTGTCGGGATCCCGACCCGAGCCGAAGGGAGTCCGAGAATAGAGGAGGAGGGCGGAGGAGACTTCCGGGAGGGAGTCGCCGCCGTGGTCGCCGGTCTCGGTCATCCCGTGGTCGCCCATCACCACGAGGAGGGTGTCGTCGTCCAGGTCGTCCACGACGAGGGTCAGCACGTCGTTCATCTCCTTGAGCTTCCGACGCATCTCCGGGTGTCGAGGGCCGTAGCGATGGCCGCAGTGGTCGACGCCGAGGAAGTGGGCGACGAGGACGTCCCAGTCGCGGGTCTTCAGCTCCGGGGCGAGGACCTTCCGGATCCCGGCGTCCACGGTGTCCAGGTCCATCACGTCGAAGGAGGGGAAGGGATGAGTGCGGACGAAGGAGTCGGAGCCGAAAAGGAGGTTCCAGGTGTCGTCTCCCATGTGGAGCAGTCTCTTCCCGCTGGCGTTCAACCGGGAGACGAGGTTGTCTTCGGAGATGCGCTCGGCGAAGAAGTTGGCGCCGGCGTCGATGAACGTCGGGAAGCCCCCGGTGACGAGGGACTTGAGGCGCTGGAGGGTCGTGGTCGGCGCGTGGGCCTGGAAGCCCATCAAGAGAGTCCGGTTGGGGGATTTCGTCCATAACTGCCAGGGAAGTGTGAGGACGTCGTGATACGGATGGGTGGTGGCGGAAGGGGAGGGAAGAAGAAAGTCGAGGCGGAGGGCGTCGACCACGAGGATCACGGCTCTCTGGAATCTCTTCAGTCCCGCGCACTCTGGGCAGAAGTCCAGAGGAGTCTGATGCTCGAGGGCGGAACGCGTGAGGAGGAAACCTCTGGCGAAGATCCCGGCGGAGACCGTGACGGCTGCGAAGAACAACAGGTCAATATAGGGAGCCTTTGTCTTCTTCGTAGAGGAACAGGATCGAGACATGACGATGGGGACGATGAAACTTTCTGTCGGCTGGAGGAACTTCCAACTTCTCAACGTGCGTCACCATGCACCAGGATATCAACCCGTACGCAAGACATGGGATCCCTGTATCGTGAAGGGAACGAAACGACCCATCCAGGTATGTAGGGACCATATATGAACTTGGATGGGATAAAACAGGTTGTGGGAGAGAACCATACCAAGATTTACAATTTTGAGACAATAAAAGAATCGATCCTCGAGAGAGAGGTCGGCTGGAGGTCTCCGGGTACAGTGATACTTGATGAAGGGGAAGCAACCGGTTCGAAGGACGTGGTAGTTGACACCATCCACCGGCCAGTTGAAGTGACTCCGCCCGCACTGGTCGTCCACCACCTCCCTAGTCATACATTCATGCATCCATCAGTCCTCAAGGCTTCACAATACCAGGTGGATCGACCGCCTCGTGACCCACGTCCCGACTCGTGGCATCGACTGCATCGTGCAGCCGACTCGGGTCACATCGTGGGTCGAGACTGAATGTACCCAGTGCATGGTCTTACACAAAATCTTATAATCTCCAGGCCACTCTGGCACCTTTTGAGAGCAAGTGGGTGTCCATAAGGACCCCAATTGGCCTGCTTCACTTGAGATCACCTCTAAAATAATCACCTCCACCAAGCCATCACCAAGACCTACTCTTTATTCACCCAACACTGGCTTATCTGGTTTCCAGATATCCAAGGAATGAGAATGGCTTAACAAAATAAAAAGGGAATTCCAGCTCTCAAAAGAGGAAAACCAAAGAGCAAAGTGTTCTCTCACGAGTACTTGAGGAAGAAAGAAGTCCAAGGGGGACAATGATGTTTAGAGAGATAGGTGGAGAGGACTTGAGATGCAAGGGGTTTCATCTTCGCCTTCTTTCCCCACGGCGAGATGCACCTCCACGACATCCGCACGACGGAACGGTCCCGCACGGTCGGTCCTCACAACCGTCTCTTCTGTGTGCTGATGTAGAAGACGTTGTTGCCCCGGATGAAGGCGTCTCCGTACTTGTTCTTCAGCTGCCCGTTCACGTATTCCTCGGTCTGCTCCAGGGCGATGTTCATGTAACCGTCGAGGCAGGCCAGGATCCCTGGAAAGATACGCAAAGGGTGAGTCTCCGGCGACTCCGGTCGATCCGACGACTTTGTGGAACCCACCTCGATAATCAACACCAGAATTGAGCTTCACCATCACTGGTTTTCCAATGATATGCTTGAGGAAATCTTGTGGATTCTGACGTTTACTCATGGCTCACTCAAGCTCATTGATCTGATCTAACTAACCAATACACCAGAAACTGAATCACTTTCAATATTTTGTCCTAGAGGGACATCACACATCAGGAAAAAAAGCTTATGGGGAATGACATAAACACAGTTTTTGTTCCTGCTTTTGGCATTCACATTGAATGTTGGAACTGAAACAGATGACACAAAAAGATGCATCACATGGAATGCAAGACTTAACATGAAATGGATAAAAGGGAAGTCTCTGGTGGAGCTCCCATCCATGACAATTCTGCCAGGATCACTGCTCTCAAATTACACCTCCAACGAGAACAATAAAAACGACACAGTGTATTTCAAGATGAAGGAGTAATTACCTAATTTCAACTGTTATAAATCTTACGGTTGACAGATGAGCTTTTCCTCTGGCAATTCATCTTCAGAACACCAAAAGAGAGAGAGAGAGAGAGGCCGAGGGAAAACAACAAATATACTCATTCTTTGAATAAAATTTGACACAACTTCTAAAATGATCACTGCTGGACACGAGAAGCGAGAATACGTTTCATCTGCTTGATGTCGTCTGGAGAGACACGACAGCAGCCTCCGATGTATGTGGCTCCGAGATCTTGCCATTCCTTGATGTGTCCTTCATCCAGAATCTCCTTCTGTCCACTCCAACCCACACCAGCTGCCCAAGTCTCACCTGAATTTGGGTAGACCACAAAGGCCACATTGGGGTTTAAAGCATGGGAGGCACTTTCCAAGAGTCCGGTCACGTGCCTCGGAGCGGTGCAGTTCACTCCGACCCCGATCAGCTGATCTCCGAGGAGATCCTGCATTGCTTTCACACATTCCAGGAATGGTTCTCCATGATTAGTTTCAGTGGAATTTCGACAAGAGAAAGATATCCACGTTTTGGGCTTCTTATCATGAGCTGCAGTGAGCTCTGCCAAAACTATGGCCTCTTTCAGAGCAGGAATAGTTTCCCATGCAATTAGATCAGGAGATTCTAGGAGCAAGGCATCCAAGTGTGGAGCATGGAAATCCATAAGTTGAGATTTTGAAACTTCATCCACATAGCATCCATGGTACTCAGAGCCATCGTGTAAGGACGCTCCATAAGGACCGAGAGATCCAGCGATGAGAGGGCGTTCCTTTGGACAGCCGTCTCGACAGAACGTGTCAGCTGCATCATGAGCAAGCTTCACGGCCGAAGTGATCAAAGATCGTGCCTCATCCTGAGACACATTCAGGTGCTTCTTGAATCCTTCAATATTTGCCTGCAGGAGAACAGAATTCACATAGAGGTCGGGTGAAGGCTCCGTGCAAGTGATCTGCCACGAGGGTCAACCTGATATGAAGCCGTGGAGATGACTTGGGCCCCAGCATCAAGGAATGCAAGATGAACCCTCTTGATGGCATCAGGGTTTTTCTGCAGATAGGCAGCACTCCAGAGAGGATCCTCGTCCACGGGGTATCCCATGTCGTGAAGAGTTGTTGCCAGGCCTCCATCCAACAGGTAACACGGTTCACTTCTACCTTTACTCCCTGGTACCATGATCTAAGTTTTTTCACCTGAATGGGAAAGGACAACATATCGCTAGAGAGCACAGCAGAAAATAGAATATTAGAATGGAGGGAAGGAAAGGAACAGGAGCCCAGAATGGAAGCCTCTATGATGAAACTCCAAGAGAAAGGCACAATATCCTTCTCTATATCTGGGGCATACAACAGATTCCGTTCAATCATTTGGGTCTGACATGTTTACCACTTCTATTTAAGGCACTTTATGATCCAAAAAATACTTTCGCAAATGTAGCTGGAAAATCATAATAAAGCTATAAAATCCTTGCTCTACGAATAGCCTCCCTCTAAAATGAAGGAGGGTCAATGATTACTCTAGGGAACATCAGAGAGCTTCTTCGTTACGGTCTCCCAGATTCTGTCTCGGCACTCTAGGTCCTCGGGTTTCACCTAGATGGAGAAAACTCGAGGGATCAGAAATAGTTCATGCAAGTCTAAGGAACACAAGCATCAGAAGAAAGACTCACTGTGATGACAGGAAAGCCCTTTGCCACCAAGAGACGCATTTTCCACTTCATTAGACCCACAGGGCTGGAAATATTGGAGCAGCACACATGTTCATCTAAGACTTCTATATAGAAAGCCCCTTGGTCCCTAGGTGGAAAGATAATTCTCTGATGAACACAGGTGTTCTAATGGCACGGACCTAAGCCAAAAGAGTCGGACGAGGAAGAGCACGTACGACTGGAGCGAATTGATACAGATGCTTCCAATCAAAAGGTGTGGAATGGGAAATGCAGGTGAGACCAAGACTGAAGGTGGAGATGCATCTTTCAGGAGGAGCAGAGTCTCCTTCAGCATTGGTCGCTGTTCCAACTCCTGAGAGATGCTGCGATGTGGGAGAGAATCTGCCATTCTTCTCCCATCCACAACCTGCTTGGAATGCAATCCTCCTCGTTCTGTCGCCCATGCATACTCCAACATCCCAAGTTGCTGTAGTGTTCGACTCTGCTTGCTAACTGGGAGAATACCATAGAACAAAGCTGATGACAGACATTGGTATCAGTTAGGCCCAAAAGCAAGTGTTACTGTGTGAAATGAAACCTTTCAGTATTTGAAATTTTCAAGAGATAAAAAAGGGAGGAAAGAAATCCTTACAGAGATTAGAAGATTTAGGACAATAACAGAACAAGCATGCAAACAGTGAACCACTAATGCCAAGACAGTCTTCTCTGCACAGCAGTGATTATCCACCAACAACATATATTATGGTGATTAATATTAAATATTTTTAAATAACACATTTGCTTCCTCATACTTGATCTGAGAGCTCTGGGAAAGTCCAATGTTTGCATACACACAGTTACAAATAACATTAACCTTTTCCACTCGAATTTTTGCAAGAGTCAATGGACCAATGGGCGAGTATACTCGCCCATTCAAGTGGAAAAGGCTAAAGCAAATTGTATTAAATTTTACCTTCACAAATGACTTCAGCTTAATCAACACACTATTTTCTATGGAACACTTATTCACATGTGAACAGCACAGAACATTCATAACATGACATCTTATACCCAATTATAAGGCTTCTGAAAATTCTGGAAGCATACATTCACAAGGACATACTGGAAATTAACTCCAGCTTTGCTGGAGCAAGGGAAGAAAATGTAAAATGTCCTTGGCTAATCATGCAGAGGTCACAATGAGAAGACTGGCAACAGGAAGTGACTATCTGCCTTCCAAAGAAAGGGAATCAGAAATCTGAGGAAAGTACAAATGGAAAATATTCAAATTTCATTCCACTTAATCTGCACCAATTAAGCTGAGAAAAATATGACACCTAAATATCACAAGCATTTTTTGGTAATTCAAGATTCAGAATGAAAAGGAAAAGCCTTACCAATGAGATTGCTGGCGACTTCAGGACGAAGGACCTTGTTAAGGAGATCCTCTGGATATCTGTTCACCATTCCAAGATAGAAAAGAGTCTTGATGAGGCATGGCATCTGTCCAAAGTAGTCCATTGCCTGATAGGATCCCCTCATGAAATTCTCGGCAGAGGTCAAGAACGCGTCATCGGGACGGTACCCGACGGAGCAGAAGTTCCAAAGGATGCCCTCTAAATCCTTGGGACGGATGGTCTGGCTCGGGTGCGTTTTCGTCCAGTCGGTCGTCAAACTCGCGAGGAGATCGCTCGCGTGTCGCTCTGACGAGCGGCACAATTCCTCGTCAAAGTGAAAGGCATTGGAGAGTACTGATAGCAGGTGATGCATCTCAGCCATGCTCAAATGAACAAGGTGCTGAGATATGAATGACTTGACTGAATGCAAAAGATTCTCATTCCAGTGCATGGAATGACGTAGGACCTTCAGCATGGAAATGAGTGGAAAGGCTGTTGCCTGACAATGGCCCTGTCCTCCTTCCTTCAACACATTCTGCACCATCGCAGTCAGCTTCTCGAGAACGTCGGGATCCGTGATCTTCATGCCGCACTTGTGATAGGCTGCACACAGGATTCCCATTTCGGCGAGGAGAGGATCCTCGACCGAACCCGTAGCGACGAGTTCCCGGATCATCGGAAGAGCACTTTCCAATGTCCTTTCTGCAAGCACTCTGTTCTTAGAAATTCCACAATAGTGGACCACCTGGACGAGCTGCTCCCGTCGAAGACGGCGGAGGTTCCTCTCGCAGACGGTCAGGAACTTTCTGAAGAACTTGAGCCTCGTGGCTTGGAACGACAGATGGAACACCATCGTGTCCATGAGCCAAAGGGACAGGTCCAAATTTGTCTTCCTCATAATGATATTGCACAGCATCTCGTCCACCGACTTCACGTTCCACGCTTCGCTCAGGAGATCCCGGGTCTTTGGGATGGAACTCAGCACGGACAGGAGATCGTGCTCGGTCTCAGGCACTTGGATCGGCGTCCTCTTCGTCCATGACTCATACAGGTCGGAAGAGGGGGCAACTCTCCCTTCGTCGAAATTGCCAACATCGACAGTCGTCCGCGAATATTCCGGTCTTCCTCTTAGCGATCCGAACTGCAGAGCTTCGAGACTCACCTGTTGAGCGAGCTTACCGAGAGGCAGGCTAGCTTGGGACTCGGTTTTTGGCCTTACGTTGTACTTAGGCCTAACTCTGACAGGAGACCGGGATGTGAATTCCGCAGAAACGGACGGATTTACGGAGGACTTCAAAGCCAAATGTAAACTACGAGATGTCGAAAACAGTCTCTTCATCTTCTTGGGCGAATATCTGCGAACACCCGTGAAGCCAACCGGTCAATATGCAAAACAGAAGGCACGGACGAAACGTCCTCGAAAGGAGGCCGAGGAAAGACCCACGAGTCCAGCGCCGCAGAATGAAACGCACGTGCGTCGCCGGCGGTGGTTGAACAGCGCCATGGCCTTTGACGTCACCGATAGAGGTCTCCTCGGGTGGGACATTTTGTATTTTTTTCAACTCTCCCAGCGTGAGACGTGGGCCCCCCCATTCGACTGTTGTGAGTGGAGTGCAGTTCTCCAATTCAGTCTTGAAGTATTTCATATTCTATTTGTGCCCAGTGATGCACGAGTCGGAATCGTTTCAGCCCTTTCTCATCTCTACTCTGACGTCATTTCCCAGGAGAGCTAGACTTTGGGGTGTTAGACCAGGGGTGTCAAACTAGCGGCCCGCGAAGCCAACTTCACTAGTCCATCCATCTATTCCATGCTGTAAGGTAATTAAGGGGCATATGGCCTTACAAAATGATTTCTGGTCATAACGGCCCATCAAGGTCGAATTAGACTATTATAACGTTTTTAAAATACAGATTCAAATCTCCTTTGCTAAATCCCAGCAAATTACATGCACAAAATTCCATGGATATTGCGTCTTTGGATCTTTTCCAAGTTGGTCCCAAGAGGCCTTACAACTCCTGTTGTTGGGGGAATATGGCCAATTCTCAAAAAACAACTCACGGTTTTCCACGTGAGCGTGAAAAATGCTGGAATATGCTGAGTACCTTGAAACATAAGGGGAATTCAGCAGTTGAAAAAGAATTTATAAATTGCATTACAACTTTTGTATCAGATTCCAGGACCTGTTGCAAAAAGCAGGATTGCAACGCTTTTGGCTTTGAGCAGCAATGCACGTGATTGCGAGTCTGTATCTAGAGACCTTTGGTGTGAGAGGAGTGATAAGTCATAAATTAATGTGAACATGAGCTTCGAGTGTGAAATAAGTGGTCTCATATTGTAGGAAAAACACTGCGTAATTTTTGCATGTATGGATAAATAGTGCCAAAAATATCAGCGAAAGCCCTTCTAACTTCTTATATGAGGGATATTTCCTTGCGTTCAAATCCGTGCCAGCGGAAGCGGTGCACGAGCGCATCTTCATGCGCAGCATATTTCTCCATATATCCAGAGGAAATGCATTGGATGATGCCTTGCAGCCCGAGATCTCGCATGAAGGGAAGCTTCATGGAAGGGAAGGGACACTACTAATTGGTCGGTGCTAACCAGAAATGACGCGTCCATATCGCCCAAATCGAGATGGCCATACTCCCCCATTTTGGCCTGCATGACAAAATTGACAACGCTGTCTGCAAACCGCAATGAAGGGGCTAGCACTTCGCACAACCATTCTGGAGGGACCATACAAAAACCATGAAGAAATGGCTTCTGCATCCGTGCTGCTATCAGGAAACATACGCTGCAGTTGCTCGAGGCTCATTCGCCAAGGTCATGAGTCAAAGAATCGGATGCATGCGATTTTCAAGACGTCGTGCATCCCGATATCCTTAGAGAAGTGGCCCAACGAACAGGTCTAAACATTTCGATAATTGCATGTACTCTTCCATAGAACAGTTTATTAAGTGTGTGAGGAGATTCATTGTGGAGGGCCCTATTTCTCCAATGGCCAAATTTCCCCGAGTTCCCCTAGTTGAATACTGTGACGGAGAGGGGAACGATAGACGGGACTTGGAAGGCATGAGGGGCCGACAGAAAGCCAAGGAAAGACCGGGAATTGAACCTGGGCCTCTTGATTGCCGGTCAGGTGTGCTACCACGACACCACCGAACCCGGGAGTCAGTCGCGCCCCTTTACGCCATCCTCATCGTCACAATAAGCCCGCAAGCCTTCGCCATTCCATGTCATAGGCTAGGCGCGTTTCGTGATTTAAGCCTACAAGTCTGTGCCTTTCCAGGACCTGGGCTGGGTGGTATGGGTTTGATAGGTGAAGAGTATGTGATGCGATGCGCCCGCGGAAGAGAAGAGGCGATGCTGCGAAGATCTGCACTGGCCAGTCAACAACGTGAATACGTGAAAGCCAAGAGGAAAGCTGCATTATTTGTAGAGCAACATGAAATTGTTAACGCTGCGCGGAGAGCAGCGCGCGTACGCGTCCAACTTTTGTCGAACCCAACGTCCTTTCCATCCGTTTTCTCGATCTCGACGCTCTGAGTGTGGAATGCTCTGTTGAGTACTGCTTGGCTTTCCCTTTTTTTCTGTTTTGAAATGAAGACTTTGCCAAGGTTGTTGCCATGATCAAGTTACGTTCCCTGGAAAAATGGCGTATGTGCAAAAGACACCATTCGAGACGAACAGCAAAAACTTCTCACAGCAAATCTACAGCTGGGCTGATTAAAATTCAATTCTCAGTTGAACGGTAACTTATGGATTTTCCCAATTATGGCTTGGCGCTTTTTGGATTTTTTTCCATCTCACTCTTCAGAGATGCAGGCAGAAAGCGTTTACGCACATAGGCCCCTTTTCCGCATTCCTATGAATACAATTACGGATTTCAAAGGAAGCCTTCCGAATAGGATGGGAATCAAAAATGTGAATCTTAAGGATCTGTTTTTTTTTTTTCCCACAAATTATTCACGAGTGGTCCGTTATTCATCAACTGATTCTGCATCTGCGTCATCGATCTGGCGAACTTGTCTTGGACTTATTTTGCACTCAGAACATTTCCAGCCAAACTTCATCATCACCTTCCAGATATTGTATGAGATGCCTGACGTCATTCGGCTTGTCAATTTTGATGACTCCTTTTCCTGCTGGTCGAGGAGAAACTTGCAATGGTGATGTCCGGCCTTTCTTTAGGCACTGGAATTCAATGAAACTTGGATGGTAAGCCTTTGACCTTTCAACAACTCCCTTCCTTTGTGGATATCGCGATTGCACGAAGTGCTGCATGGTGAATTTGATGCACTTTTGAGAAAGTAAGGGACCAATGCTACTTCCCCATCTTGGATGAGGTTTCCTGCATGTATAACTTGAAAGGGGTGGGGTTTGCTTCGGCAAGGCTTCAACGCATCAAGATTAGCCGTGATTGTGCAGACATTTTCTTTCTTTTTCAGCAGTTTTCCATATATTTCGAAGTTTCTATCACCTTGACTGTATGAATTCCCCCGTACGGGGAACACAGGTCGAATGTCAATTTTCCAGGCATTTGCGAGCCAGCAAAAGAACCTTTTCACAGTCTCATTCTTATTTTGGTCTCCAGAGGTATAAGAGAAGCACAAGAGCTTTTTCACATTTGGGAAAGTGAAAAAGCAAAAAATCACAGACAAATGAGCAAACGGAGTTAGCACCCTTCTTCGTCTCATTTTCCATGTAACAACAGAAGGCACTGTCATTGTCGTTGTGGCAATGCACATCGAAGACACACAACCACAACCACCGCCGGTAAAACCGAGCAGTCACACTCAGCTTGGGCATGGGCAAGTTTTGCCCATGGTTCTGTCCACTCCAGCATCAGCAGTCTTCCTTGCATTCTTGTAGCAAGTGGTCTTTCGACTCCTTACTTTCTGCAACTTTTTGCCTCGTGAAGATGGAGTTTAGTCTGTGCTTGCGCATCGCCAACTTTTTCTCTCATTGTGCGTTCGCTGCAGAAGTCACAAACATCAGTACGTGGCATTCGGAAGCTGAAATTTGATTTCTGCAAGATGAATTTCTGGTATGTCACGTACGTGGACTTCATTTTCAAGTTAGTCCTCGTTTTCACTCTGTGGTGCTCCTGGAAAGACCCGAAGTGTTTTGTGACGGTAGGGTCTGCGTTGAGAGAGTAGAGTCTCTTTGACTTCATTTGAGAATAGCGGGATTCACCACGGAAAATGCTGGTCATGTGCTCCTTCGTCAAATTCCATACTTCCTTGGTTATTTTCATGGAAAGATTCCGGTGCTTTCCTGCGAAGTGTAACATTATACCCAGTCTGCACAAGACGTTGAGGGAACGTTGAGGGAAAGTTCAATTTTCGACCTTGCTTCGTGGAATAAACGTTCCTTGTAAACGTGTAATCCACGTTGTTGTGGGAAAAAATTCCACGTTGACAACACGTTTATTAAGGAACGTTGCCTAGAGGTTTCCCGGAGACGTTCTGTCAACCTTTGTTATCATCATGTTTTGTTGAAACCATTCAAGAAAAATAATGGGAAAAAACATTGAAGGTGTCACATGCTTTATTTGCAGCAAAAAAAAGGGGGTCCATACCTTCAAATACAAAGGAACAGTCACTAAATCAGATCTCCACAACTGATGTTTGTCTGATGATGTTTGAACT